GGGGGGGGGGGGGGGGGGGTGCTGGGGGACAAAGGAGGCTAGGAGATGAGGCCAGGAGAGTCACGGGAATGTCACTTCACCACCGACAACACATGTAGACTCTCCTGGTTTTCTCTGGGGCGTGCTTTTGAGGTAAAGTTTAGCTTTTCCACTTTATTTCATTCGTGTTAATGGCAAGATCATTTGGAGATGGTTGGCTGTTTACTCGGTTACGCTAACTCATGTTGCCAGTTTTCTGGCGGCTCCAGCCAAGCTCTCTCGCCTCTGACAGCTTCTGCACTCTCTCCTTCCTCCTCTGATTACGCAGCCCAATCTGTCACCCGGACAACGGGGGCCTGTACCCCGCTGATGGCTTTCCACACACGGCAATAATGACTTTTGGCAGGCCGGGAAGGCGGCGGAGGCGAATTTGCTACGTCCCTTGCTCAGAGAGCCGGCAGGCCCCCTCTCCCTGTTAGTAAAAGCACTTTGTGAGGTTCTTGGGTAAATAAATGAGTCATTTTAATCCAACTGACAGGCTGGCACCTGAGCAAGCTGCCTTCCATCTGTACTCCTCGGTCTCGTGGAGGCGGCCCATTGTCAGGCCCCGGGCCTTCACGGCCTCACCGTTGAGTGTCTTTCAGAGCTGACTTTAGCAATTCTTTTGCCCTAATTAGCTTAAAGGAATACGGTTGGGCTGGGTCTAACTTCTAAGAGGGGCAGAGAACCGAAGCCTTTGCCGAGACGTAGGTCAGTTTCCTGTGGACCTGGCACCCCCAGCGGACAACGTTGCAGAGGATGGAGCAGATCCCGGCTTCTCTGTGGTCCTCTGCCCGGGTTGGGTGTGCGGGCACACAGATCACCTCCTAATGGCCACCATGTCGATACCTCCTTCGTCGTGGAATGAAATGCTTGGATTTGTAGTTCTCAACACACTTGTGCAAACACGGTCCCGTTCGATCTCCTCAGCCACCCCGTGAGCTGAGATCAACAGGGTGGGTCTTATAGCCATGGGATGGGTGGGCAAACTGAGGGTCAGCGAGCTGCGTCGACTTGCCCGGGTGGTGTGGCTGCTACGGGGAGGCTGGAGTTCAGTTCTGTCTGTCCCTGGGCCATGCAGGTTGTCCCTTTGTCCCGTTCCCTATGGTATCCCGGGTCGAGGATAGGAAGGAGGATTTGCAGGAACAGCTTGAGGGAAGCCTGAGCAGTGGTGGCTGTCAGGGAGGGTCCCCCCCTCCCTAAGACATAAAGCAGTGCTCGATGGGAAGATGGTTTCTCGGCCGGTCCCCGAGCGGGAAATAGAATGTCGAATGGTCCTGGGAAGGCCGCTGGCGTTCTTGCTCCCCATTTCGGTATGTTTGTGCTCAGTGAGCGCCACGAACGTCACCTGCTGTTTTAGAGTTTCATCTGTGTTTCTTGGTTGAATTTACTAAACCAACGAGCATTACATTTTTTACAAAGTGTCTGCAAAGCTCAGACAGCCACTGTCTACGTGCATCTCCCACTGCGGAGCACTTAAATAAAATAAATCATTTCTTAACAAGAGCTTAGCAGATTTAAGAACCCGTCAGTTTTTCTGAAGACATCAACTGTGGTTAGCGTAGAAAGCGATGTCTGCTTCCCTTTAAGATAGAGAACTCTCTAAATTGTGTCCTCAAAGGCATCAGCTCGGGAACATCCGCCTTCAGTTTTCAGGGCGGTGGGAGCTGTCTGCAAACACTCGGTGGGTGGTTGACACGATTTGGTACGTTAACTTCCGCTTAGTGCCTAATAAATGCAGCCTGGCCACCACTCCGAGGAAACTTCCGGTAAGCCCAGGTGTAATCAGAGTGACGGCGGACAATTCCTGACCTGCCCTCCGCGGTCCTTGCAGGTGGGTGACACGATGGTGGGACAAGATCTTCCCTGGCTCCTGCCTCTGACCCTGGGCGATACAGGGAATAGTTGGTTGAACGTGCTTTTTACAGAAACTTCGCATAGGATTCTTGGTTTCCAGAAAAGCCTTATGTATGTAAATCCTTAGTGATACTTAAGGGGAGAGGAAGGCCAGCTGTTCCTGACGGAAAAATGGCAACCGGTAAGTGGAAGAAGGGGACGCCAGCTAGAAAGCCTGCGTCTGCAGCCGCCAGAGGAACAGCGAGGCAGACCGGCAGCGTCACTAGATGCTAAAACTTGTGGGCAAAAGGATTTAGGAAACGGTCTCCAAGTTCCACTCCCCAGTTTACTGATTGGTTACAAAGGAGGAGGGTGCCTTCAGGTGGAGAGAGCTGGTGGGTGGATGCCACTCCTCAGGGGACCGAGCACAGCATCACCCGTGCAGGACACATTGCCCTCGCGTGTCTCCTGGTGTCAGCCACTCTCCGCCCTTCGGTCTTTCTGCCGGAAGGCTCCACCCGAACCTTCCCGTGGGGACACACAATTAGACAAATACAGATTCTGGGAGGTGCTTCAAGACACCTGGGCTTCTTCAAAATTGAGTTACCAAAAAGCTAAGTAAGTAAATACTGAGGGCAGGGATGTCATTCTAGATCAAGGAAGTCTAGAGGGATATAATAAACATAGAATGCCTGGTCGATGAATCAGTTCCTGGGTTGGGAAAGAAAACAACTATAAAAGTCAACCTTAGGTGCGGTTAGAGAAATTTGAATATGAAACGATTATCAGGAAATAACATTATTTAACACTAAATTACTTAGGTATGCTAATGGTATTGTGATTACGTAGAGGAATGCCTTTTTACTTAGGAGGTACGTGCTAAAGTATTTAGGGATAAAATGTCATGGTATTTGCAACTTTCCGATGGCTCAGAAGCGTGTGTGGAGAAAGAGAAAGCGGGTGCAGCAGACAGATTAGCGGTTGATGAATCCAGATGAAGGATGTGCGAGTGCTCCTTGGTTTAAGTTTTTCTAAATAAAGATTTCAGGGGGAAATAATATGCATTTGTTGTTAAAAGAAAGACAAAGCAAGCAACACAGGAAAATGCAAAGGGAAACGTAAAAATCACCAGAATCCCTCTCCCCAGACATAACCGCGGTTGATAGTTCGGGTGGGCCTCCTTCCAGGTGTGGGCTCCCAGTTGATCTCTCGGTTCATCTCTCCACTTAACTGTCTACCCATTTAATGTCTCGTTTTTGGTACCCGCTTTTTTTTTTTTTTTTGCCCGTGGATTTTTTTCTGGAAGAAACCAGACTTGGTGCTTTAGAATACTTCGCATGCGGGATGTGGCTTCCTGCGCCCTCCGGGTCCGGCCAACGTGCTCCTCTCTCCCCGACATTTCCTGTAAAATAGGAGCTGGGAGCTGCACACCTGGTTAGATTTGGTTTCGTTTTTGGCGAGAATACATCATAGGCATCACCAGTACTTCTGGTGCTTGACAGCTCATTGTCTTTCCAATTATGTCAAAACATTTACATTGTTTCAGAGTCAAAATCGTAACAGTCCATTAAAGGGAGTCCAGTTTCTGCCCCTGTGGGCGGCGCCCAGCCCCTTCCCCTCCAGGTGAACTGTTCTTGTAAGCTTTTGGGGTTTCTCCTCCGTTATTTCTTCTTGAAATGCAAGCAGACGTGTTTGTATTTCCCTCCTCTCGCACACACAAGCCTCCTCCGCACACCCAGAACAGATCGTAGAGGTTCTCCGTGCCAGCACGTCCGAATCCCCGTCCTGCTTCAGCCGTGCCACACTCTGCTGTGGAGGGTAGGTGCTGCCGTGTTCTAGTCACCTGGCCTAGCCCTGCTAGACATGGGGGGTGGTTTCCAGGCCTGCTACACATACTGCCAAAATCAGGAGCTTTGTGCGTGAAGCGTGTCGTATTCTTGCCAGTGTATCTTCGGGATGGATTTCTGGAAGTGACGTTGCATCTGGGCCAAAGGGCAAGTGCGTATGTAGTTGTGTGGGATATTCCCAAATTTCCTACCGTAGGGGCTTATGCCATTTTGCATTCCTACCAGCGGCTTCTGAGGGATGCAGCATCTTTTTGGTGGTGAAACGATAGGCTACGGCCTTGGAAAAGTAAAGTGGATTCAGGATTCGAGGGCTGCCTCTACGTCTTAACCGTGTGTCTCCGGACAAGCTGCTTGATCTCTCTGAACCTTGGTTTTCTGTCCGTCAAGTGGGGGTAGGAGTTGTTTCGGAGATCGCTCAGGATGACGCAGGCGAAATGCTGCAGAGTCTGGTGTATGGTGAACGCTCAGTAAGTGTTGACCGGGGATGTTCTTGTCGTGACGGTTGTGCTCGAAGATGAATGCCCAGCGTCATTTGTCCCTGAAAACTGAAAGGTGCCCACACTCTCGTCCCTCTGCCAGAACGGCCAGACACTGGAGAGCAGAAAGCCTTTGCTTTTTGGGCGGCAACCAGCTGAAAAGAAAAGAACTACGTCTCCTTCGCTTTTACAGTTTTCATGTCTGGTTAAGTCTGTGGCTGGGGTTCTAATTTAAGTGTCAGAAGAGGTGGGACATGACTTGATATTTACTGCTGTCTGAGGCTGATGAGCCCTCAGTAAATACTTGGCAACTGACCTCCACAAGGGAGCACTTTGGGGTGGTCTTTCAGACATGTGCCTCAAAGCCCTGTCGTTGTTGGGCATCGCTGACAGGGGAGGGGTGAGGATAATGACCCACCAATGCATTCATCTACCATAGAGTGGTTTCTCAGATAAAACGTAAAAGTAATAAACCATGCTAGAAGTTCTCAGAATTTTTACATGACATACTGATGAAATGAAGACTTAAGTTCTTGAGCAAACATGCGGTTTATGTTCTCCTAGTAGGGTGAACATTTTGTGACTGCCTCACCAACATGTTCTGTAGAGCTTACCCCCTAGGTTAGAATTTTTTTTTTTTTAACGTTTATTTTTTCTTGAGAGAGACAGAGTGCAAGTGGGGGAGGTGCAGAGGGAGGAGACACAGAATCTGAAGCAGGCTCCAGGCTCCGAGCTGTCAGCACAGAGCCCGACGTGGGGCTCGAACGCACAGGCTGTGAGATTATGACCTGAGCAGAAGTCTGATGCTTAACCGACTGAGCCACCCAGGCGCCCCCCTCCTAAGTTAGGTTTTTTTTTTTTTTTGGTCTAAGTTAGAATTTTTAACCACAGATGGACTTCACTGGGTCCCTGAAGTTGTATGTAGGGGTGTGTGTGTGTGTGTGTGTGTGTGTGTGTGTATACACCTGTGCACACGGGGGGGTGGTGAGCCCTCATAGTTTGCATTAGATTATCAGATAGATCTATGGCCTTAAAAAGACTTAGAAACTCAGTGGTAAGCCATATTCTTTTCTGTTTTAAAGGATGTTGCAGCTCGGGGTTTGGATCTCCCTCAAGTCACGTGGATTGTTCAGGTAATTTTTCAGTTAAGGTGTGAGCTCAAGGCAGGAATAAACGATTGTGAGTAGATGAGCTGGCTTTAAGTGGAATAATTATTATTATTAGCCTCTCGGGTGTTGCCCCGGTAACCAGGCAACGACCAGCCTTATCTGCCCAGTTCTCCAGGACCTTCCCCTAACACGGCCCACCTAGCCACTGCGGTGAAACGGCCAGGCTGAGCAGTTGCGGGAGGGAGGGGCAGACTCCCCTGCTCCCAGACTGACGCATGTCACACACAAAGTTTCAGCAATCTGAAAATAACAGGAATTACCCTGGCCCTTGGGAGGCCTCATTGTGTCCGGAAGGAGATGGCTCAGCCTGTCCTGAGAGCCGTGTCCGTGTGCATTGACCTGCAGGGGGCAATTAGGGCCTGACAACATCTTACACACACCTCTAGCCTTAGACGCTTTGCCAGAGGGCACAGGTGTTAGCACTAGAGTCTGGTGGTTTCAGTTTTGTTTTTTCTTTTCGTTAGTCTGCAGAATGGTATTTTTGAGCCTTTCTGTGTGGGGGCCAGGGGACACGTGCCCCATTTACGTGAGTCATGGTTTATTCACGTGTTAGTGGAATTGCATGCCTGTCACTGGCTAGGAAATCTGATCTGCTCGCTGCAGAAGATAGCCTCTTTTGGACTAGAGGCATTGTGGTTTCTTGCCTGATGGCCACACGGCAAAATAAAGATAAAAAGCAGGGTAACTTTAATGTGGGGGATGGGGCAGACACATAAACTTGATCGTTTAGAGCTTTTCTGTATTGTGAGGTGGATTACTTTCATATGTCTGACATCCTCGTGTATTCTGTTCATTTTGGGCCTCTGATCTTTGATTTGTGTAGCTGCAAAGAAAAAAAACAAGGAAGAACAGAATATGGTCAGTTCCCATTTGTGATGATAAAGTTACTGCCACAGAAAATATGAAATGCTGTGCATAATGCATTCTGCTGAGTTAGAGTCTGCCCCCCACCGCCCCCAGGTCAGGAATGCTGTCCCCGGTAACGGAAGCAAGTCCTGCCAGACGGGAACCTGCCTCACGGCTGCCCCGCAGCTCTCCCGGTTCCATTGGGACTGGGTGTCACTGCAGTGAGATGGTGGGCACCGGCTCCCGGTGGCCCGGCAGCAGAGCTGAGCTCTGGTTAGATTAGCCAGCCCCTTCCTCCTGACCCCGTCCAGGCCTCTCTGGCCTCAGCCTCACCGCCGCGTCTGCCGGCCAAGGTCACTCAGTCATCCTACCCCGCCTGCCTCCGTGTTCACTTTGCACGGTCACCTCTGTGGAAAGATGCAGATAGGAGACTGAAGAGACCTGTGGAGAAGTAAAATTACAAAGAAGATACTGGGACGGGAAGGCGCTCGCTCATCGGGAACTTGGCCGCTGTTCACGCTTCGTGTCTGAGCCTCGTTATTTCCAATGAAGGCAGGGCTTTCAGGGTTGAGTGGCTTCTCCTTGGGGTTGTGTGAGGGTAACCATAGCACCGGGATTTCATTCTTGGGCTACCTGGAGGCAGGTGAGGGGTATTGCACTTCCAATTAATGGCAACGCCTTGATCTGTGAATGCCTTCATTTTCGTTACCCTTTTTAGTACAACGCTCCGTCTTCGCCTGCTGAATACATCCACCGGATTGGGAGAACCGCCCGGATTGGCTGCCGTGGGAGCAGCCTGCTCATCTTGGCTCCTTCGGAGGCAGAATATGTCAACTCGTTGGCTTCTCACAAAATCAAGTGAGTCAGAAACCTGAACGCGGTTTCAGCTGATCTCACCTAATTAACTTTCTGTCGCTTTCTACAGTGGATGGGCCTTGTAAGCTGACGAAGAGCCATTAACCCTTGTGATCTCTAAATGGGTCCCAGAATAGCCAGTGGCGAACACTGAGCCCTTCACGCCGTCAGCACATGACAGTTTTCACTGCGTTGCCACACAAAGTCACGGAGCGATCTGTTGCGCTTGGTTTTTCTTTAAGATAGAGGTCCGTGTTTCCTATTCCTTTTCTGTACAATTCGTGTGCACAGCCCTCACAGCCAGCTTCCTGAAGACCTGCTTCATTCAGTTTTCATTTTTGCGCACAACGTTCTGTGCCTCTAAAGGTGATGTGTCTTAGAAAAACAAAGAATGCTGGTGACTCATCACAAAGCCCGCCACCACCAGGAAGATGAACCCAGGGAGGACATCTCTGGGGGCAGCTAAGGTGCCCGCGTAGCCCCACAGCCGCCATGCCGTCACTCCAGTCGGGGCCCCCGCGGACCCAGACCTCGCTCTGGAAAGACCAGCAAAGTGAAGACAGAGAACAGCCTCTCGACCTGGCCGAGCTGAGTATGAGGAAGGCAGAAGGAGCTCGCCTGGGCTGCAGAAACGTGTTCCGAACGGCGTCCGGCACCTGAAATAACCAGTGCTAGTAACAGACTGCTAAAGGCGTGCGGTTTTTCACACTGGCCTGCTCTCGAGAATTTCTCCTGCTCGCGGAGCGTGGTTCGGAAGGCACGGGGAGAGTCGTGCGCGTGTGCCCAGGAAGGTAGGGCACGACTCGTGCCACGCGCGGGAGCCCCGATGGCCACCCGAGTTTTGCTTGGAACCAGCGCTGTGACACCAGCCAAGCCCAAGGGCCTCCTGTCCCGGTGCTTTGCCTCACGCAGCCCCACGTGTCATGTGAAGCAAGAGGACCACGGTCTCTCGGTCTAAAGTACAGAGCTGGCAGGGTCCTTGCGTTCTGCATGTGCATCGCAGCTCCCAGGCAGGCTGCCTGGGACCTGGCCTGGGGACCAAGTGCAGGCCACCCACTCAGAGAGCTGCCTGGGGCCACCCCACCTGCAGAGTTCTCCCTGCTTCTCTCCCTCCCTCTCTTTCTTCCCTCCCTCCCCTCCCTCTCCTTCCTCCCACCCTCCCTCCCTCCCTGTACCCTGGGCAGACCTAGTAGGGCAGTCTTGGGCCTGCTCGTGGGAACATCTGTGGGTTGGGGCGTCCTCAGGAAATGTGCCTTGTGTACACCCTTCAGTGTTGGGGAGGCAGGAGCCTCATGGTGATTTCTAGTGGGCCAAACTAACACTCGTTTGGGTTTTCCTTTCGTTTAATGTCTCATCTTAAAACAACGTAGCCACCGAAAGAGTGGTTTTATTTGTTTCAGGAAGACTGCATATTTGATGTTACTTGTAAGAGGAATTCTGTTGGTCAGTTGGTCATTCACGTTTCACCAATAACAACTTCTCGGGCCGGATTCTGAGTGCCTGGAGCTTCAGGATGGCCAGCCGTTCTCTCCGGTGCTTTCCAGTCCTAGGATGGCACGCCACTGGGCAGCTGTACCCTGGAAGTGGGGGGTTGAATGAAAACCCACGGACATAACCCCTTTTCCTGTTGTCTCTTACCCCGTTCTCACAGGCTGGGGACCTGTCACGGCACTGCCGCTGTTTTCCTATAGCACAGGGACTTGTTGAGCCTCAGAACACGTTTTCAGAGCTGTGTGCTGTCGTCCACGGGAGGACATATAGTCCCTTCACCTTGGCGGCCTCTTATCCCCTGGCTGCTTCCCCCCCCACCCTGTGTTCTAGACTTACAAGTTCACGCTCCATGCGCCCTCTGTTCCTTCCTGTTCACGGCTCCTGGATGTTTGCCCGCGCTCATTCACTTTGACGCAGTAAGCTCGGAAAAGTGCGTGCCAACGGTCCTGCAGTCACATGATAATTGTCCAGCCCGGAGTTACCCGCACAGATGCCCCTGCCCTCAGATTTCCTTAACAAACGCATTCAGGCTGATTGCTCTGAAAGATTCAAATGAGAGCCTAAATTTAAAAAGGGAAAAGAGGAGCACTTGGGTGGCTCAGCTGGTTGAGCATCTGACTCTTGGTTTCGTTCGGGTCACGACCTCACAGTTCATGAGATCGAGCCCCACGTCAGGCTCTGTGTCAACAGAGTGGAGCCTGTCGGGGTTCTCTCTCTGCCCCTCCTGCTCCCTCTCTCTTTCTCCCTCTTTCTCTCTCAAAAATGAGTAAGTATTAAATTAAAATGGAAAAATAATAGCCACGTGTATTTTGAAGATATAAAGAGTACAGTCGTTCTCTGTGATGGTCTCATGTGGAAAAAACTGTGTCAGCAGCACTGGTGGGAAATCCGGCATCCCATGTTCACATTCAGGAGACCGCTCCGAGACTCCAGTGATTCGCGATATTTGGACTTGCGAGGGAAGTTCAGAAGCATGAAGACAGAAGTACCCAGAGGAAGAGATTTGGGTCTCTTGTGGAGTGAACATCTACTCGAGGGGGAAAGAGCCCTGGAGGGGCCCGGCCTTGCTTGTTTCTGCCCTGAAAATGCACCTGCTGAAGCTTCTATACCTGAACCTGCTTTGTGGGCCTGATATAACCAACCCCCCCCCCCCAAAATATCAGACCTAAGTTACAACGTTGCAGCCATGAATGATGCTTCCAGATTTGTGTCTGAGGAAGAGATCAGTGTTGGGTATCTATATATAAGCTGTTTTGTACTTAATTCAAAAAATTACACCTAGGAAGAACTAATTACAAAGTGTGCTGTGGCAACAAGCAGACTTGAACCAAAAGTTACTCTGCTAAATATTCCAAAACAAGAAAAAAAAGAAACCAAAAAGAGAAGGAAGATGTGTGTATGTATTGTGCGTAAGAACCTGGGAGCCGGGCAGCCGGATGCTGGGAAGGCTGATGAATTACAGGGAAGATTCAAGAAGGCAGGCTGAGGCGCTCGGCAGCAAGGGCCATCACAACAAATTGCTGCCTGCCTTCAGACGCCGAGCACTGTGGACCTCGCCCTGACAGTGTAATTTAGCAGACGGGGCAGGAGACAGGCGCCCTGGGCCGCTGCCACCTCAGCCCGAATGCTCAGGACTTTGTTTCTGCATCCTTTGGAGTCCCTTGTATATGCCAATCTCTTAACCGATTTCCGCTTCCCTTTTAAACGCATTTCTAATGAAAGTCGTCATTGGTTTGTTAAAATGTAAATGCCAACTGTGTATCTCTTAGATCAGGCATAGGACAGGTCCCTGAATTTATTTCTCTATCTTCTCATGGTAAGGCGGGGCGGTTCAGATCTGCCGATAGAACCATAAACAAGCAGAGTAGATTTGCTTTGTTCCTCAGAAGCCACCCGATTTCTGAGAACAGGAGGAAGGCCCTTTTAAACTGTAAATCACTCCAGTTCTTTCTCTGCTGCCGTTCACTTGCGGTGACCGGCCCCCAGCACTGTCACAGGGACACACACGGCAGAGGGGTGCCCGGCCCGAGCGTCAGCCCAGACACGCCCCCGGAAAACCGCGCCTCTCTGTGGTGTGTTTAGTTCTTTGTATCCCTGACTCCAAGTGGCCTTATTCTTGGTTTCTTTCTCCCTGCTTCAGAATCTCACCCCGAGTCCTTCTGTTCCTTTTCCTTTCCTCCTGAAGAAAACGAGTGATGCACAGAGGCAAGTCCGTCAAACAAAGAAAAAGCTAGGACCGTGCCATGCTGTGCGTTCACCTCCAGATTCTCCCGCGTCAACAAGAGGCAAATTCAGTGGCCACGGCATTTCTCTCTCTCATGAAAAATACATTTTCTGTGAAATCACGAGCATTTTCCCCCAAACTCCTACCCTTGCAGTACGTGCTCTGCCTCCTCGGGTTGACTCCTGCTGTAAAAAGATTTCACGGCTCCGTGGGGCTGTGAGCTGGCAGCACAGGGGGGAGAGTGTGGAGGGGCGGGGGCTGGGGGTGTTCAGGGAAGCGGTGACACATTTCAGGTAGATCGCTGTCAGAGACGTGACATTTTCATTCATAGCTTTGTCAGCGTAACCTTTGGGGGAAAGGGGGAGAATTGTCTTCTCCCACCTGAGAGGTTGCCATTCATGTTTTAATTTGCTGTTACGTTAAAAAAAAAAAGAAACAACATACAAGGAAATCATTTATCTTTTTATGATCTGTTTTTCTCCCAGAACTCCTCCTTCCCCTTTTTTTCCCCCCCTCCCTGGGAAGTATGTTTTCAGCAACTCCTGTTTCTTCCTTAGGCTGTAGTACTTGATTGTGTGCTCACTTGCTGTGTTTGAACGCTGTGGCCCGCAGACTGGTGGAAGCGGAGCCTGGGCTGTGCAGGGCCGCTGGGCCACGAGGCGGGTCGACCTCTTCTCCTGGCTCAGGCTGGCTTCTGTTCACAAGTGAGGCCCAAATTCTGAGCTCAGCCGTTTGCACACAGCTCTGCATGCGTCAGAGGTCCTCTGTTCCTCACCCCTTCATAACGAAGGTGTAAGAGCGTAGACAGACTTCTGGATACGTGAGAAGAGAGTTCGGGGGCTGCGGTCACTTGTTGGCCTTCCCTGAGGAGTTGACCCCAACAGTTACAGACCTTTAGCCACACCACTCCCCTCCCGCCTCCGGCCTGGCCTTTTTTTTTTTAATATAAAACTAAAGGGACTAAAGGGACTATCTGGGTTGTTCTTTTCTTCACTTTCTCATGTGCTCGTGTCAAGGTGTAGTATATTAATAAGCAGGCCTGCTTTGTAGTGTTTGAGATTCACTAAGAAATAATGGTGGGACGCCCACAGAGGAAATTCTAAACGTAGCCTATTTGAAAGTCGCCAGAGAGGAGGAGAGTGTTGGGAATATGACCCCTTCTGTCCTTATCATGTCCTAGAGGTTGCTGCCTTCCAAACTCCTGAAGGTTTAGGAAACAATTCCTTTCCGTGAAGGTGTAGTTTCCGTTTTACATTGAATTAGCTTGAGAATAGGCCAGTTTTATGCATTGAGATTCCGGATGTTGCTGAAGGTAGCAAGTTCACCTTGACGTGCCCTCCTTTTACAGCGTGTCTGAGATTCACGTGGAAGACATTTTGTCTGTTCTGACAAGGGACGGTTGTTTGAAAGGGAGCCGACGGGGAACCCAGGTGAGTGTCATTATTTATGATACTTGCGGTGAACAGACACGACTCACTTCTTGATTTGGGGTGGTGGGGCTACCGTGTGTGGGATAGTTAGTTCCTCTGTTGAGCAGACGTGTGTATCTCAGGGGCCATGAACGTTAGATGAGGCCACATCGTGATTGTGTTTTCTCCTCTCTGCTCCTGGACGCGTTTTCTGGTCTCATCCCGTTAACGGGTGACCCGTCCATTCTGGAAGCCCGCAAGGCCGCAGCAGGCTCCCAGTGAGGAGGCCTCGTCCTGGCCCACAGTGAGTTTGGAGGCAGTGTTACCTGCTCAACCCTGGTGCCCCCATCCTGATTCTCAGCAAAGACTGCTGATTGACCCATCCACCCGTGACAGCACGGAAGAAACTGGTGTCTCTGTGTCTCCATGCAGACACACGTAGTTCATCCGTTTTTTAATGTGTGTGCCACACACAGAGGAAGAGTAAAGTTGAGATCGTCAAAAGGAGACATTGGTGTTATCCATGTGGTTCCACACGGGGACCCTGGGCACCCTATCCTGCGGCCCTCCCATGACTTTCCCCCTGCTAGGTGGTTGCTCCCCACTCCCACTCTAGCCCTGTACCCACTGTGTCACAGATATGTGTGTGTCACGTTGCTGTATGTAGTTTTGTCTATGAAACATTAGTGATTTGAATATTTTACATTTGTTTGTTTAAGTCTGAGCATAGACTGGAAAATGAGACCAAATAGATCAGGCTTAATTAAGAGTTTCTTTTATGCATCAAGAAGCGTCTTTATTTGGATCAATACTGTCCCTGGGGCTGGGACCTGACTTGACTGGCCCTGACTTAAGCCCTCTTGTTCCAGAAAGAACCTAAGGAAATGTATCAACGAAAAGGCAGGGAAACCGTCACAGCGTGTGTCCTGTGCCCGGGACTGTGCTACACTCTTCGTGGTTTGGTCCTGTTTAATCCTCCCAGCAGCCCCACCAGGCGGGTGCTCTCGTCCCACTTCCCAGATGAGGAGACTGAGGTCCGGAGGGGTGAAGAAACGTCCACAGGGACGCAGCCTCCGGTGCGGTGGAAGCAGGCAGCCTGACTTCAAAGCACGTGCTCTTTGCTTCCATTGATACAGACGAAAGCACGGCAGTGGCAGCAGCTAGCTGTTCAGTTAGGTAATGTCAGCCCTCGCTAGGTGAGACGTGGTCAACAGATGACGCCACAACAAATATCCCATAAGCCAAAGAAGCAGGGACAGACTCAGTTGATCAACAAGTTGTTTTAAACCGTGTTTCGTTAGAAAACATCCCTGCCGCGCTAGACTTTGGAACATCCCATATTAATAGTTTGTTGTCAAGGGAACGGACCAGTCACCAAACAGACGCTCGTTGGTCCTGGCACGCTGCTGTTCTGAAGCTACTGCAGATTCTAGGAAGGGTTTTTTCATGTTCCCTCAGACACTTCATTACAGCCCCAGGACCATGGGCAGTGTAGCAGAGGTTAAGGGCATGGCCTCAGGGTCCCCAGCTCTGTGGCTCTCGGCAAGACTGGACGTCCCTAAGCCGTGGTTTCTTCTTATGTAAAACTGAGATCATGTTAGCATTCTTCTTAAGGAGATTGGAGGACTGAGTAAGAAATAACCCGAGAACCCCAACACAGGTACTGAAGGGTGTTCATCGTCATCATCAGCTAGTAGCAGATGTAGAGTTCCGAGTCCAGACTCCGCGACACGAAACCCGGTGCTTGTTGCTGTGGCACCGGCGAACGTTAGCCTCTGCCTGCTGGCCAGAAGTGAGAGCAAGCAGTAAAGTTACAAGAAAGTTACAAAGAAAGAAAAGGTTCGGTCAGATCTCCTCTTACACCATTTCTGGGACTGACTCTGTTGGTGTTTGTCCCTGAACCGAGCACACATTGTTCGGTCCAGGGAGAGCTGATCATCATGTGGGTCTGCAGAAGGAGCGTCTCCTGCGGATTCCCCCCCTAGGGAGGGAGCCAGGCAGCCGCGGTGCCCTCTGCTCTTCCCCGAGCGAGCCACGGCCGTTTCCCAGCCCCCGGCCTTCCAGGGCCTTGCGTATCTACTCCCACGGAAGCAGAGGCTTCCTTGGCACGAGGCCGGCCTTGAAGCCTTGCTCGAGGGGGGGTGCTCGGGGACACTTCGTGTAGGGGCCGGGGCCCCAAGGCAGGCAGGCTTGGGTTCCAGACCATGCTTCACGGCTGGTGGTTCTGCAACCAGAGTGCCCGTCACGTGGGTTGCTGTGGAGCTGACCTCTAAAACGAGGCAGGCAGCGCTCTGTATGCTTCTGGGCCGTGGCGGTTCATCCCAGCCCCAAGCTCCTGCCTTGATGGACGGGAACCAGTAGGATGTTTTTATGTTTTTAAGGAGTGGTAAGCTTTGTTTTTAAAAAGAAAAAACACTCGGCGAGGTGGGCTTTCACTGACCCCAAACTAACAGGTTAGCCTAGAAAACTAATCGTACTACAGGCCCTGGGTGACATGTCGATGAAAACCTGGCCTGTTTAATTAACCAAATTTAACTTCAATTCGAAGGCCAAAGGGAAACTCCGTGAAACTGACTCTATTACTAATTGTCACACAGATCTACAACCCAAAAGAGTGTTTTATGTGTGTGTGATCCGCGTGAGTAGTGAAAAGAATAAAGTAGATGCTGGATACAACTTTTAGTTCTGTTCCTCATAAGAAACACGGCGTGTTTTAATTGCCGTTCTCCATGTGGGCGGTTCCGTCTAGCCCATGAACCAGTGCCGGACAGATAAATGTGAGCTCGGTAAATAGGCCTTGTACACACATAGCCAGACACCTCACTGTAAGGCCTTTCTTCTCACTCGATTGAAGTCCATTGTAAATGTCCCTTTGGCACATACATTTTTGGGCTTCTGTGAACAGAAAGAGAGTGAGTGAAGCATCTGTAAAATGTATATTTCATATTTAGGTATATAAAATATATATAGCTACGTCTGGGTGTGCGAGTGTTCACCCACCTACAAAGAGAATAAATTTGATCTTTCAACTTTACTGGGAAGCACTCAGATGGTTCTAGAGAAGCATGAGGGTGAAACTCAGCTTGGCAATAAAGTGATTAAAACAGTCCTTCCGTTTAGTTTAAAAACACTTTAGAAGTTAGCAATGGGCACGTTTCCAAAAAAAAAAAAAGAAAGAAAAAGGCACCTCCCCTACCACTGCCACCACCTAAAACTTTTTACAACAACCACAAAAAATCCAGCCCAAGTATCTTCAACTCATGTGTTGCCTCTCGATAGGCATGAAATTTTCATCTTCAAAGTATGCGCGCACCCAAACATGCTTTTTCTACGAGGTTTTTTTTTGTTTTTTTTGTTTTTGTCCTATGAGATATGCCTGTAAACGGACCTTAGCAAGAGACTGGTGCAGGGTCAGGTATTCAAATGAGATCAGCAGCCCCCTCCCTCCGTCCTAGTGCTCAGTCCTTGCACTCGGCTGTTCTCTCCAGGGTCGGTAGGGCTTTAGGGACCAGGGAATGCTGAGTGTGGGCCGTTGGAGACGTGTTTTCCTAAACTAGCCCCGGCCTGCTAGTCCCAGGTTAGCTTCGTTAACCAGCACTGCGTCTGTGTGTCTTTGAGGGGTGGGTGTGCCTCCGGGCTTTGACCCGCTCTCATTACGGGAGTGTTTCACCTGTCGGGGCTGAGACGCTGGCGTGCACACAACTCTGCCCCTGCCTTCAGTTTAAATTTAGACCGTCCTCCCCAGAAGACAACTGAAAAACACCTCATTCTCAAGAGGGGTAATTTTAAAATAAAGTATTTCTGGAAGTGGAGGGGGTAGGGAGAGGAAGACGTGCTTTTTCCTGAGTATATTATGTTTTCTGCCATTAACTTTTCCTTACATTTTACTGAAACTGACCTCATCATTTCAAACGTGTGAACCTAGTCTTATTGCCTTTTCTCCACCTATTTCACTTGTACACACATTATCTATGTGTGTGTATGTATTTTTTTTTGGTTGGGAAGAAAAGATGCCTCATTTTGAAACCTAAAGGGGGAATAAGAAAAGCCCTTTGTAATATATTGCCATATTATCACTAAATCCCCTGACAGTTGTGACACAGAAGTAAGTCACCTGTCACTTAAGCTTGAGGTCTCTTTAATTTTCTCCTGGAATTCGCACCAGGCTGTCTTTAATTTGAGGCCTTTATTGGAATTCTGAAACCTCTCTGCCTCCCTGGCTCTCAGATCTATTCTGAGAGCTGTTACAGAGTGTATACAATAACCAACAGAGGGATTCGAGCGGGCTGGAGCTCTGTTTATCTAACACTCTAGAGGGATTTTTGTGCTTATTCGGGCCTGGCTGCCCGGCTTTCAATATCGCTTTGACAACCATTCTGCCCTTCTCATTAATTTTAAACAGTTAAAACACAGGAAAAAGAGGAAAAAGTTTTCATTATTAAAGTGCTTTACTTTTTAATAACAGAGGATTCTGTCCGCCAGGGGAAAGGGCATCCTCGCTAATTTCACATTCATATTAAAAAAAACACACACACACAAGGAAGGTGACAGTTGCGTTGCTGAGGTGGCTTAACGAAAGGAGGGCAGCAAAAAAAGAAAAAAAGTTTGCATTTCACATCAGTTAAGAGGGTAAAAAAAAAAAAAATCCTTGTTAATGACAATAGCAAATGTCCACTTTCATAACACAGCTCCTGAGTGACTTTTCTCTTGACATTTGAGTGGATAAAACCCTTAGGGGGACCATGTACTGTGAAATCAGCTAGACTGTCATCAACCGAACAGGTAGCAGGAATGATTTGACTAAGCTAAAAACATTTTCAGGTTGTTAAGTCTCTATTAATACAGAGACGGACACAGACCCAGAGAATGAGGCTTTTTCTCCTCTCCCCTTTGTTCTTCCTCTGGCAGCCTTAAAGGTGAGAGACTCAGGAGCCACAGCTAGGCACAGTCAGCCTGTGGTCAGCCAGACACAGGCGCCAGCCCCTGTCCTCCCCGGGGGTGAAGGGAAGCACAGACTGGCTGTTTTCTTGGTGACCCATGCCCGCAGTGGGTAGTGGTTACCGTAGAGGCTTTTATAGAATCACTGGGACAGTCCGCGTCTTCCAGGAGACCTACTAGCCAAATTGAGTTGGAGAATCTTCGTTCTCTGGCATCTCAGTTTCACATTCAGGAGAAAGCACTCATGGTTGTTTTAAGACGTAGGAGATGGGGGGGGGTGCGCCTGGCTGGCTCAGTCAGTGGAGTGTGTGACTCTTCATCTCGGGATCGTGAGTTCGAGCCCCATACTGGGTGTAGAGCTTACTTTAAAAAAAAAAAAAAAAAAAGATACGGGAAACAAAAAACACTCAGTTTTAGGGGAATATAAAGAAAGGAAATCTTGGGGCGCCTGGGTGGCTCAGTCGGTTGAGCGTCCACTTCGGCTCTTGTCATGATCTCACGGTTTGTGATTTCGAGCCCCTCATCGGGCTCTGTGCTGTCAGCTCAGAGCCTGGAGCCTGCTTTGAATTCTATGTCCCCCTCTCTCTCTTCTCCTCCCCCACTCACGCTCTGTCCCTCTCTGTCTCTCAAAAAATGAATAAACGTTAAAAAAAAATTTTTTTTTAAAAAAAAAGGAAATCTTTTCTCTGGGATTGCTGAAGAATGAAAAGGATATCATTTTTCTATTTTATTAACGTTTTCCATCCGTAGAACTTGAGCGTGTACAGATGTCGCTCCTGAAACCAGGACGGCCAGCTGCAGAGACCGAGTGGCCTTCTTGGAACGTGGTGTGAAGGGACGGCCCACTCCTCGATAGGTCCCCGGCAGCCAGCACAGTGGCACGGTGGTCCCAGGCTGAAAGAATGGATCCGAAACACAAGTCACAGCCTCCCTAGGAATGAGGGAGCATGCTCTGAAATTCAAGGATAGGCTAAATTTTAGGCAGGCCCCGGGGTAGGGGGGGCACTCCCGAGAAGCTGTTCCCTTGTTCCCCTGAGGAGTGAGAGGGAGGGGGAGGATTTAAGGCCTCCGTAAGACCCAAGTCCTGTGAAACCTACCCACCTGTCCACGTCCCGTGATGTTTTAAATGCCTGAATCGGACTCGGAAAATTCCAGAGTGTCTCCGGTGGGCTTTCATTTTGAACGTGAGTGACAAGAGGCCAGGAGGACCAGTCAGTAAACAAGTAAATAAGTAAATAGACCTGATCTGCCCCCTCACAGAGCTGTCTCCATCTTTGCTTGACTTTAACATCTTTATAGCTCCCGTTTTTCCTCTAGTAATATTGAAAGGATTACCCTTGTTGGCCCCTCGGTGGTTACCGAGTGATTTTACTGTTATTAAATCTATTATAAAGTGCTTCATTATTCCTGACTCTGACTCTGTCTCTTCTTTAATCCTTCCGCCACCCTCCCAGAAATCCCGTGCCGCTGGCCCCCAGGAAATCCAACGGCGAGCCACGGTCTTGCAGACGGTATTTGAAGATTACGTGCACTCCAGTGAGAGGCGGGTCTCCTGGGCAAAGAAAGGTGCGTGGATTTCGTAGGTCCTTGTGGATGGAAAGCCCTCAGAGCTCCGTCCCCACCTCCACCTGCACACCGCCAACGGGCTGAGAGGCCAACCGGTGGGCAGGGGCGGGGGGGGGGGAATGTCTCTGCTCACCAGCTTAAGCCTTCAGCCTCGTTCTGCAGGGTCTGGACGCAGGTGTGGAAGGCTTTAAAGTGATATTAAACGTTCACTTCATCCTTCCCCATGTTTTGCACAAATGAGGCTTTATCTTGGCTTACGTAGAACTAGAACTTTGACCCATGGATCTCAGGGATCCATTTTTCTCTTTGAAAACTGAAGAGACGTGACCGCGTCAGCAGAGACTGTTGTAGAGATGGAAATTAGGGATGAAGGTAAGGACTGGAGGCATCAGACCCGAGCAGTCTCTGTTTGGAAGTACAAAGGAAAGTGAGAAAGAACAGTGCTGAAGAAAGGCCATAGACCTTGAACCCAATTCCTAGGAAATTTACAAAAGACTCGGGTACTTATTTAATATCCAGGCCCTTTATAGGATAAGTTGGCACCTGGGATCACCAGGCATTAGTGGGGACTCAGTAGTTCACTGGAGAACACTGAGAGAGCGTGGGGGGAGGGGTCTTAGAACAGCTGGATGTTTCCTATGGCAGGAAGTCGCGTGTCGTGGCTGGTGATGGTCTTGTGTGTGTGAATAAGACGCAGTCCACGTTGGAGGCCCCTCACTTCTTTTTGATAGTTACTTGCTGTTTTGAGAAGGATGCCAGGCTGTCTTGCCAGTGTGTAAACTCTATAGCATCATCTTTTTCCTTTTATGAATTGAGATTTTTTTTTATTTCAAAAATTTTTTTAATGTTTGTTTTTGAGAGAGAGAAAAAGAAAGCATGAGCGAGAGAGGGGCAGAGAGAGAGGGAGACACAGAATCGGAAGCAGGCTCCAGGCTCTGAGCTGTCAGCAGAGAGCTTGACGTGGGGCTTGAACTCACGAACCGTGAGGTCATGACCTGAGCTGAAGTCAGATGCTAAACTTCACTGAACC